CTAGTATAATGTGTTGTTATGGCTAAAGAACAGTGAGTTTGATTTGTGCTAACATATTAATACATATGGGTGCAGACATTCTTATTTTAATTGTCTTTCCTTTACTGGGTCTATTGTCTTCTAGTAAAGATTGTAGATTTCTTCAGTTTTGCACATTAGGAAACAGTATCTTTTTCATTCATTTCTAGTTTCATTTTAATAAGTTGAATGAGAAGACTAAAAACAGATGTGCTGTGTATAATGTTTTCTTCCTGATTACAAAAGTAGTATCTGTTTGTTGTTTTAATAGTTAATGATTAAGAAACATTATTTAGGAATGAAAATTCCCTGTAATCCCCAGAGATGTGTACAGTTAACATTTCAGTATCTGTTCCTACAGATTCTTTTCTGTGGTTATTGTGTTATATTTTAGAATTGTAACTTACCCACCAAGATATTTTAAGAAGTTGTCAGAAAGGCATCTCTGGGTACCTGAAGCCATAGCCATTTATGGATTTCAGAGTATCTCATATGGGATTAGTCTCCATTGAGACCCAGGAACTCTGTGAAGGAAGAAGCAGTGGTCTCTACTGTGTGCCTGGCAATGTGCTTAAGTACTTTACCAGGATTATCTCTCTTAATTCTTCTACTAACCTCTTAGTGTAGGCAAGCATTATTATACTCTTTCTATAGATAAGAAGACTGAGATTCAGAAAAGTTAAATGACTTGCTCAAGGTAATATGGTTATTCTGTAAGTAGATTTGGGATTTAATTTGATGTCTTATCTAGAGAATATTGTACAGCATCCTGTTAGTTTCCTATATTGAGATGTGGCTTCTTTTTAGCTAAAACATCTATGAGACGTAAAAAGCCGTTAAATGAGGACATACTCTGCTTCTTTGGCTATTTTGGTATTTTTTATCATTTTGTTCGTATTTGATTGGGGATTGGTACATTATTGCCTGCTGACTTATTCTAGCATGCTGTCTCTCTTTGTAAATAAAGTTTTATAGCACTGAGATTTGAGAACAAAAAAAGAAAAAAAAAGAAAAAAAAATAAAGTTTTATTGAAATACAGCCACACCCATTCACTTACATATTGTTTAACAGAGACCATATGACCTGCAAAACCTAAAATATTTGCTCTCTGGCCCTTTACAGAAACTGTTGACCACTGCTTTGGTACCAATTTTAATTTAGGTGTAATCTTTTTAGTAGCCTAAGGTTTTACATTCATTTGCTCAGGTGTATTGGCTGGTGCAAGTGCTTTCTGTTCCCTGCTTTTCCCAGACAAGTCATACAGCCATACAGCTTCATGCCTGAGTTTCTGTGTGGTGGTCCCGTATAGTGATTAAATGTCTACATCGGCCTTTGCAGGCAGCATGCATTTCAAAAATCCCGAAACTTTTGCTATTGCTACTCTTTGTAAATGTTGTACTCCTAGGCCTGGTAAATTCCGATGATGGTGTCCCCACTGCAAATCTGTAAACAAAAAGGCTGGTAGTCTCTCTATATTAAAGTGCTTCAGGAGACTGTAGCCACAGTCTTTGTTATTCTCATCAACAGCACTATAAGAGATTTGTTATGTGTAGGCATTGAGGGAGAATGTTAATTTACATAATTGAGACAATTGCATTAAAATTGGGTGAGTCTTGTTTTGACATAAAGTGTGTTACAGCAGCAAGCTATTAAATTTTCTCCTCAGTATTATAAAATAAAGTGGAAATGTGGGAAGAGTAAAAATACTTGCTGTATTTCTGCTTATTGTTTCACACCCCTCAAATATATGACTTCTTACAACTCTAGCTAGTTTTACTACTGAGTGGTGAATTTGGTGAACAATTAAAATCACATCATTTAAGTCTTTGAGTTTTGATATTTCCTCTTCATAGTCTTTCAAATACTTGGTAAGCTTTATACTCCCACTGTGTCTGTCATGTATTGTCCTTAAGTTACATGAAAGCAGCCCCCGTGAACTTGTGAGTTTGCTCAGTCATTCACTGGTTGCTAGATGAGGAAGAAATTATAGGATTTTTCTCTCTTAAAATTCCTTGGTGAAATCATTGGATGGATATAGTGCTCTTCTTTAATTTTCCTTTTGGGAAGGCATGACCAAAAAATCTATTGACAAAGCCAAGACTTTCAATTGGTCTTGGCATGTAGGTTTGTTTTTTAAGTGTGTTTACTCTCATTGAAGGGTGTTTTCAAGTCAAGTTTGTTTAAATGTGTAAAATGAGTTAACACGTTATATGCAGCAAGGATTTACATCAGAACTCTGAGTTCTCAATGTTGTAGCAGGTTTAAGTAGAACACCTTTTACCTGTTAATCTATATTATTAATACTTGCTTTTGTATATTTGGATAAATGTCACCTTCTCAAGGTGGCTTTCCCTCAGCACCCTGCTTAAAGTGGTATCTGTCTCATTTTATTTCCTTCTTCTCTTTTATTTTTGTCTATATAACTTATTGCTATCTGAAAGTCATTTATTTCAGTGTTTTATTTATCTGTGTTAACTTAAAAGAAGGTCTTTGAAGGTAGGAATTTTCATCTCTTCCTTCTGTACCCTCCAGGTGCCTGGCACATTGTAGGTACACAATGGTAGTTAAATTAAAGTCAGGGAGAGTTTGTAGAATGAGGGCTAGAGGTAGAGGGGCAAGTCACTTTTTAGAGTAGGAGAACCTCTTTAAATATGTGGGGGGGGGAGCACGTATTTTGACATCAAACTGTTTGAAACTGGGCTCTTGTACTTTTTTGACTTGGGTGTTAAATAATCTTTGAAAGACTAAATTTTCTTACCAGTGAAATGGAAGAAATAGTATATTTTTTATGGGGGTTAAATCTAATATCAAATATAAAGCTCTATAAATGTTAGTTTTTCTCTTTGCTGTTGTGTATCAGCATGAAGAAGTCTAAAAACAACCTGAATTTACCAGTCCTTTTCTGGAGCCTTCTGGGGTCATTACTTTGATTACTTTTGACAGATTCATTCTTTTCAGCAGCCTGTGTTGCTACCATAACAATGGCCTGTCCCTTTGACCAGTGCTGGAGAACAGACATTTTGTCATCCCTCTTTTAATCCTTATATCAGAGCAACTCTGGGTTCTGGCTTTGAAATATGTTTAGATGAGTTCTTAATTTTAAACAGGTCAGATGATAATTGGCCCTTCCTTAGAGCCATCTGAGTTTCACTGGCCATCTTATTAAATGCAGAGGAAACCATTCAGGTAAATTGATATTTGTGGTCCTTGGGCATAGTCATTCTAAGTTTCTTGGCAAATCGTGAAACATCAGGGGGCTGCTAAGTCACTAGTTTGTTTCTATGGATTTCTGTAATCCTTATGTAAATCCAAAGTGTTTATTCCTGTATCAGTTTTACTGATTTTTCTTCTGCTAGTGATACAAGAACACTTCAGAAGTTAGTTAAGGTAGATTGGTTCATAAATTTATAGGTTCTTTTAATCCTTTGTCCCAAGCAAGTCTGAACAGGACTTGGAAAGCTGATTATAACACCAATGAGCTTAATTTTAAATTAAATGGATATTTAATACATTGAGAAAGTACTCAAGCCTTTCAGTCTTTCCCTTTCATGCTTGCTTGCTATTTGAATCTGATGGACTTGAAATCAACTTTTATTTTTCTACTAAAAGAGTTGGTTATTGTTACATTTCTCAAGCTCAGATGTTCAGTGGATTTCTGCAGGTGATTTTAGTACCTAAGGGTACAGCGTCGTTAAATCAAGGCAGGCAGAAAGCAAAGAGTACCCTGAGCCAGGAGGTCTGTTACAGTGTATGGGGTGGGCCAGAGAATGGGGATGGGCTTAGGTGGCTGGTATAGATTTTTTTTCCCCACTAAGTGTATGTTAACTGCTTTTTGGTTGAATCCTGATCTCTGAGACATACGGAGATCTGTGATCTGTGGCAGATCTGTGAGGATTTTAATATTGAGAGGGTTCTATTGTTTAAGTTAAGCGTGGACATTAAGGCATTGCTTTTTAGTCTAAACGTTTGGTCTTTGATAACCTCTAGTTTTTAGATTTCAATTCATTGTTAGGTTTTTGTGATCTGATAAAACATACTATGGGATTTTATCTGTTTTTCTTTTCATGTATGAATGACATTTTTATACTATTGTTTATATTGCTGGCCTTCATTTACCTATATGTACCTTCATTTACCTATTATGAGTAAGAATCTTTCTTAGACAAAGTATAATTAAGTTACCTGGGTTTTCTTCTCTGACTATTTTGAGGATGAGATCACCTTATACTCAAATTGAGAATGTTTGGCAAAGGACCTGCCATTCTGAAGTCTATGATCTGAACCATGATTTTTTAGCTAGATGAAGGCCTGGTCAAATCACCAAGTTTAACCTTTAAGAGCATGCTACTCTTAATGTTCAGGAATGTATTCTACAATCCTGGGAACCTTCTTTAAAGTTCTCAAGATTTTTGTAAGAATACATTTAGTGAAAATAACAGGGAACCCAGCTATTAATTTTGAGGAGGGTCATGACTTTTGAGTTGTTAGAGGCAAGCTGTTGCCTCCCTTGTCTGAGAGACAGGTAGCAAGGAAGAGAGCTCTAGTGGTCCTCTGCCACCCTTCCTCCAAAGTCCCTAGTGAGACTGGGGCAGGTACCTGGGGAAGCAGCATTTTCTGAGTTTAGGGGCTTATGTAAAAGTGTTACTGAACATGCAATGATTTTGCTTTGGTAACTGCTTTAAATGTCCTGTTTATTGTTGAAACTTCTGTCACAGTGAAGCCATTTGTCTTTATTTTTCAATTGGAAAAATCTTTCTTCCTGCTTGAAAAGACTGAGTCTGGAATACAAGGAATTCTGCAATCCTTGACTCCCTTCTCTCCCAAATCTCAGTATACGATATACAACTGAGTGTACAGTAACCTCAGACATGGGATTGTACTCACAGAGCTGTGCTGACAAGTGGGGACTTTAGTTGATGTTCGTATTTTTGGCAACAGCTTTTAATCTTATTCTCATTTATTTCTTCCATTTCTGTTTCAGTGTCCTGGGTCATGAAACTTAATCCACAGCAAGCTCCATTATATGTGAGTAAATCATAGATTTCTTTTTATCTTGTACTTATCTATGCTGTTTACTTATTGAAATAAACTCACCCTTTCATGTGATAGATTATTAAGGAAAATTTTAACCATCTACACATGAATTTATTGTTGTAAGACCCTTCAGAAATTGTTTGATTTAGTGAATACTAAATGATTAATATATGCATGGAACTAGGCTAAGAGTAAGTAATATATGTAAGACTTGTGAGGTAACTTAGGGCAATAGGAGGCACATATGAAACAATTAAGTTGCCCTGCAAAATGGCACAGTGGCTTCTTATTTTTACCTGCAGTGCATTTCTGCTTAAAGTAGTGTGGAAATCTTCTGTTGCCATTGTGAGTTACCCTGTGTTGCAACTAGGTGGCACTCTGTCACTGGTAAGAGTGTTTGTTATCTTCTTTAGGACTCTAGGTGAAAGCTGATACATCATCTCCCTAAAGCGAGGGAATTATGAGATGAAATGGATTGAATGAAATGATTCATTTTGATTGATGAAATGATTGATGAAATGATTCATTTGATTGAATCAAGGCCACAAAAGATAAACTATACACGACTCTTCATTTTTATCATTGTCAGAATGAATTAGTTGAATTGGGATGGTGAATAGTACCTGTTTCATGAGGAGTCCGCTTAGAGTTGTAGAGAGGCCAGTGGATGTTGGGTTGCCACACTCTGGAGAGGATGAGAAAAATTTCTTTGTGGTAGGACTTGAGCCTTGAAGAATAAGGACCATTTGGTTGGCCAAAAAGCCTCCAGAAATTGTTGAAGACAGAAAGCCAGATGGTAGGGGTAGCAGAAGCAGTGAGCATGGTGTTGGATGAGTAGCTGGAGGGTGGGCAGGGAAGACTCTGGCCTGCCTGAAATTGTGCTGGGGAGTAATGGGAGATAAGTCTAAAATGATGGATGAAGCTCAGTGTGAGGGAAGACTAAAGTTGTGGGGATTTTTTTTTTGCCCATTGAGGAGCCATGGATGGTGCTTATTTTAAAGTTGATGTTCCTTTTATGTATTTATTTTTCAGCATGCTATGTTAATAATAGTCTTTTATCTTTACAACATAGAACATTCATTTAACTCTTCTGTGTAGTTGGTTTTTATGTTAAATGTGGCATGTAAGGAAAACTATTTGTTGTTATAAGATATTTTATGTACTTTCTTTTCAGACTACTTGGAGATAAGTTATTATGTTCACCAGTGGTTTTTGCATGTGAACTGAGTACTGTGGACTTTTTTGAATAGCTATTGAGATATGATTCACACACCATAAAATTCTCCCTATTAAAGTATATGATACAGTGGGTTTTTAATGTATATAGCTGTGCAATCATCACTATTATTTAAATTCGGAACATTTTTATCATCCCCCAAAGAAATGCCATACCTACTAGCAGTCACTCACCACTTCCTGTTCCTCTCAACCCATGGCAACCACTTATCTACTTTCTGTATTTATTGATTTGCCTATTCTTCATATATATATGTAGTCACGCAATATGTGACCTTTTTTGACTGGCTTCTTTTCACTTAGCATAATATTTTCACTGTTCACCCATGTTAGAGCATGTATCAGTATTTTGTTCCTTTTATTAATGAATAACATTCCAATGTATGCTACATTTTATCTATTAGTTGATTAGGCTTGAGTTGTCTCCACTTTTTGGCTATTATGAATAATGCTGCTGTGAATATCAAGTTTTGGTGTAGGCATGAGCTTTCATTTTTCTTGGGTATATATATACACACACACATCCCTAAGAGCAGAATTCCTTGGGCATATGATAACTGTATGTTTAACGTTTTGAGAAATTGCCAAACTGTTTTCCAATTGTTTGGGACAGTGGCTGCACCTGCACCAATTTATATTCCTACCATCAATATATAAGGGCTTCAGTTTTTCCATATTCTTTCCAACACAAGTTATCTGACTTTCTGATTTATAGCCATTGTAGTGGGTATGAAGTGAAACCTCACTGTGGTTTTTTTTACTTTGCATTTCCCCAAAATGGCTAATGATTTCGAGCATCTTTTCATGTGCTTATTGACCATTGATAAATCTTTGGAGAAATCCCTTGCCCATTTTAAAATTGGGTTATTTGCCTTACTGTGTTATAAATGTTCTTTTCATATTTTTAACACACACTCCTTGTTAGCTACGTGATTTGCAAAATTTCTCTCCCACTCTAGGAATTGTCATTTCACTTTCTTGAATCATGTCCTTTGAATCAAAAAAACAAAAAATGTTCAATTTTGATAATGTCCAATTTATTTCTTGTATTGCTTATACTTTTGGCATCATATCTAAGAATAATTCATTGCCTAACTCAAGGTCACAGAGATTTACTCCTCTTTTCATGTAGGAATTTTATAGTTTTAGCCTATTTAGGTATATAATCCTAGGGTTAATTTTTGTGTATATTGTAAGGGAGGGAGGGATCCAGTTTTTTTTTTTCATTTGCATCTGGATATCTAGCTATATCAGCACCATTAATTGACCATGGGTCCTCAAACTGTGGCCTGAGGGCCACATGCAGCCCGCCAAGGACATTTATCTGGCCCATTTTTTGCTGCTGCTGCCTGTCCTGCTTTGCATTCGACTCTTCCCGGGCCCACAGTGCGCATGTGTGGAATGTGCGTCGCACTCTCCAATGGCTCTCCAGCGCTCTGAGGGATAGTGAACTGGCCCCTCTGTTTAAAAAGTTTGAGGACCCTTGAAAAAGAATGTTCTTTCCCTGTTGAATTGTCTTGGGCACCCTTGTTGAAAGTCAGTTGGTCATAAATGTGAGGAATTATTTCTGGATTCTCAATTCTATTCCTTTCATTTAGACTGTCTTTGATTTCTTTCAACAGTGTTTTGTAGTTTTGAAACTTATTCTTAAGTGTTTTATTCATTTTGATGCTATTGTAAATGATTTAGTTTTTTTTCTAGATTTCATTTTTGGATTATTGTTTGCTAGTATGTAGAAATACAGTTGATTTTTATATAATATATTGATCTTGTAAAGTACAACCTTGCTAACAGCCTAGCTTGCTTGTTTGCTAGTAGTTTTTTAGTGGATTCCTTAGGATTTTCTGTAGACAAGATCATGTCAACTGAAAATGAAGATTCCTTTTCAATCTGGATGTCTTTTATTATTATTTTTTCTTGCTTAATTGCTCTGGATAGACTGTCTAGTACAATGATTTGAATAGAAGTGATGAGAGCAAATATCTTTCTCTTGTTATTGATCTTACAGAGAAAGAGTTCAGGCTTTCACCATTGAGTATGATGTTGTTACTGTTACTGTGTTTCCCTGAAAATAAGACCTACCCATAAAATAAGCCCTAGCAGGATTTCTAAGCATTTGTGCAATATAAGCCCTACCTTGAAAATAAGACCTAGTGATGGGCGTGGCTATGCATCGTATCTGCACAACCCATGCATTTCATCGTGGAGCAGTAAAGAAGTCGAGCAGCCCTTCTCATCTGCCCCATGAGAGCTCCATTGATCGACATGAGAGATTGGGGCCAATGGTTCTAAAGGAAAGAGTCGCAAGAAATTCAGGATGAAATTCAGGGTTTGGAGAGTTATGATGATGTTCCAGAAGAAGACAACTTAACTATATTTGAGTAAATGTAGATTGTTGTACCATACTTAAAAAAAAATAACACATCCCCTGAAAATAAGCCCTAGGGTGTCTTCTTGAGGAAAAATAAATATAAGATCCTGTCTTATTTTTGGGGAAACATGGTAGCTGTGGATTTTCCGTAGGTGCTCTTTGTCAGATTGAGGAAGTTCCCTTCGATTCCCAGTTTGACTATTTTTATCATGAAAAGGTACTGGATTTTGTTAATTTTTTTTCTGTGTCAGTCGAGATGATCATGTGAATTTTTTCTTTCATTCCATTAAGGTTGTATATTACATTGACTGAATTTTGAATGTTAAACCAGCCTTGAGTTCCTGCGATAAATGCCATTTGGTCATGGTGTATAATCCCTTTTATATGTTGCTGGATTTGGTTTGCTAGTATTTTGTTGAGGATTTGTGTGTCTATACAAAGGAGATACATTCTATAGTTTTCTTATGATGTCTTTGTCTGGTTTTGGCTATTAAAGGCTTTCTATTAGCAAGCTGATGTAAATAAGTAGTTGTGATAGGCAGAAGTATGGCTCCCCCAAATATGTCTACTTCTTAATCCCCAAAACCTGTGAATGTTTAACTTACATGACAGAAGGAACTTTTCAGATTTAAGTTAAGGTTCTTGAGATGGAATCCTGAATTATCTGGGGGCCCAGTGTAATCCCAGGGGTTCTTCTAAGTGAGAGAGGTTGTGTGAGGAGAGTCGGGTCTGAGTCTGAGAGAGATTTGAAGATGCTTCACTGCTGGCTTTGAAGATAGAGGAAGGGACCATGAGCCAGCAAATACAGCCTCTAGAAGCTGTTAAAAGCAAAGGAAAACTTGATCCATCTAGAGCCTCTAGAAGGAATGCAACCCCGCTGATACTTCGATGTTTAGCCAAGTAGAAGTCATTGCAGACTTATGCCTCCAGAAATTGTAATATAATAAATTTGTGTTGTTGTAAGCCACTGAGTTTGGGAATTAGGTGTAACAACAATAGGAAGCTAACACAGTTTGGGAAAACCAGTGATAGTGTGAGGGATAATTGGGAAGGAGAGGGTAGACGCAGATAGATCAGTTAGTAGCTTTCTGATCTTGCCATTGTAGAAACTAGAACTTTAGACTTAATAAAGGCCTTAGATAGTAATAATATACTCCTTACCCCTCTCCATTTTAGAGATAAGGGAATGCGGTCTGAAGATTTTGTGATAAGATGGCACAGCTGATTGGTGGTAAAATTGTGATTTGAACCTTTGTTTTCTAGACTTAGTCATAGAAACCACTGTAAACCTTAAGCTTGAAAAAGTTTCATTCTGTTAGGGAAGCAAGGCTCAGTACTGAGGAATGTTCTTAGTAAAGTGCTTTGTATATGATTACATGTTTAA